AATTTGATTTGTCTCCTCCCCCCCCTTAATTCCATGGGTTTGTGCTTTCTATTTACAGTTCTGTGTACGGAGAAAATCTTTTACAAACGGATGTATTTTTTTAATAAGGTTTGGGTAATTGAAAGGGAAATGAAAGGAATACTGTTTTTATGGGAGTGAACGTTGTATTAGAACTATTCTCTTTATTTTCCATTGGATAACAATTGTGCTTCATCACTTAGCATAGGTGTATTCATTGTGTTAGTTAGGTGCCTTATTGCATGCCATGTAGAAATGTATGCTGAGCTGTAATAGAAAAAATAAGGTTTTGGCTCCTGCTCCCTTTTTGTTTCTTCACATACTAATCAACGTTTTAATTTGACCTTTTTTTTTTTTTTTTGCTTCTCTGTACATGAATGTTTACACTGTTACTTCTGTCTTTTAATTTACTTGTCTGTCAAGAAGCCTCTTTGTAGAATAGAGGTTAAAGAAAGTTGCAATGCCATTGATCCATATGTTGATTGCCCTCTATAGTGGTCAATTCTTGTCCTATTTGTCTATTACCCCATCTTTGAGTGGCTCACATATATGGATAAATAAAGGTTGTTGACTATCAACAAGTTCATACAGTGTTTTTATAGTACCTTTCTGCTTTTGTCAAGGTTCGCTGTGTGTAGTGTATTTAACATTGTAAAAAATGGTATTTATCATGTTGAGGAAGACGCATTATTGGTGACTTAATATTTTAAGTTTAATCTGCAGGATTGTTGTTAAAATCCGAAGGTCGTATTATACTAAGAATAATTGTTGAGGTTATCCTTGTAGCAAAGTGAACAGGAAATTGAAGTTTCTGACTGAAGTGACCTTGTGTTAGATGTGTGTGTGCAGGGCCATCTGCTGGTAGCTCATGTTTATCGTTCTTCTGTGTGCCTTTCTTTTAGGTTTAAACATGTTTTGTTTCCAGTGGTTGATTGGAAGTTTACATATGTAGATATTTTCTTAACCGTTACAGTGGACTTGCTTTTCACATTAGGGCCAGTAGATTATTTTTCAGTCAAGGTCCTGAGCAGTCAGTTACACGTTTACTATGTTGTTGGTGATTGTGTTATAATGGTTACTGGAGATTTGGTAATGCAAATGTCAGTTTCAACAATTCATGGTAGATTATGAATCACAGAGGTAATTATTTTCTTTATGAAACTTTTTTTTATTTTAATTTTTTTTATTGATTTAAATTCTTTTTAAATGTTTCTTTAAATTCATTTGGGATGTTTTGGAAATGAATGACTTGTTCATTACTTCTCTATGTATTTTCAGCCAAAATTCCCCATTGTTTAAAACCACAGTGTTAGTTCCTCATATGCAATGACCTCAAACAAGGCTGGCTTATTTTATGACAGGTTGAGAAAATCTTGATTTGAGGAGTCGAGATGAATTTCTTCACTATTAGTTCTTTCACTATATATTTTTCTATTGGGGCTGGACAATCGTGCACAAAAGTAAGTTTTCTGAATTTAAATTTCTTCTTAATTGCTGTTAAATATATATTTTTAATTGACGTGAAATTTAAGGATTTTTATTTTTTTAAACTGAAGATTAATGACCATCTGCACTACTCATACATGGGAAGAAACCTCAGCTACATACCATCCAGTATTCCTTCCTCCATTGAAACTATGGATTTCAGTTTTAATGTTTTGAAACGCTTAAAGAAGACTGTTTTCCCAGTTTTCTATTTTTTGCGAGCCCTTGATCTGTCAAGGTAAGCAATATTGTTACCATCTAAATACGTTGTATAATGTGTTGCTGCTCTATAAATTATATTAAATTTATGTATTTGCTTTCAGATGCCAAATCAAGCACATTGAAAATGATACTTTCTACAATGTGAAGAATTTGACTACTTTGATTCTCACTGGAAACCCTATTACATATTTTTGGACCTGAATGCTTGAATTCTTTACATAATCTATAAATACTAGTTCTTGTGGATGTTGGTCTCATCATTACAGCTTCAAATGAATAACCTAACCAAGCTGCAGGAGCTTAGAGTCGGGACAAATAACATCCAGTCCATGTCTCTCCCTCCATTCATGAGCACCTTCAAAGACTTCAGTTTACTTGATCTACATGCCAATAATACAGGTACAGCTCAAAAAATTAGAATATCATGAAAAAGGTCAATATTTTTTGTCACTCATTTCAGAAAGTGAAACCCATATATAGATTCATTACACAGTTAAATATTTCAAGCCCTTATTTCTTGATATTTTTAAATAAAGGCTTGAAATATTTCACTCTGTGTAATGAATCTATATAATATATGGGTTTCACTTTCTGAAATGAGTGACAAAAAATATTGACCTTTTTCATGATATTCTAATTTTTTTTAGATGTACCTGTATATCCATCATAAAAACTGATCATACTGCTGTGTTGCGAGAGATCGGCAGAAACATGACTGTGAATCTCTCTTGGAATCCATTATTATACATTGAACCAGGAGCTTTCAAAGACATTAATCTTCGAGAACTGAACGAAGATCCGATCTACCTTTGTTTCATCTGCTGCTCAGCAAGCTGGTCTAAAAGCTCTACAGGTGCATCTCAATAAATTAGAATGTCGTGGAAAAGTTCATTTATTTCAGTAATTCAACTCAAATTGTGAAACTCGTGTATTAAATAAATTAAGAACCAAAGACAAACTACTTCAGTCTGTGTGCATTGAATTTATTTAATACTCGAGTTTCACAATTTGAGTTGAATTACTGAAATAAATGAACTTTTCCACGACATTCTAATTTATTGAGATGCACCTGTATATGGTCTTAATGTCAAAAGGCTGCAATTTGGGGAAGCACAAGGACGGTTTCAGATTTCACTTTTCAGATACTGACTTTTTAGATGGTCTGTGCTTTATTTATTTCCAGGAGGTATATTATTACATTATGGAGAAGCCTAGTGAGCCAATTTCTGTCTTTTGCTGTATGATTAATGCCACAAATGTAGCATTAATCGGAGGTCTAATTGATGAAATGGAGTATGTACGTTTTCGTGAAATCAAGGAGCTTTACTTGATGTCCGTTAAGTACTTTCCCAGGTAAACAGCTTTCACATCTGCATACTTTAGAAAAAATTAGTAATTACAACAGTGCATCTATTTGGGCTGATGCCTTCATAGACATGCCTAAGCTCCAGTATTTGGATTTGAGCATCCCGTGGTAACTAGGATTTACACAAGCTTCAGTCTGGATCCAGAACACCTGATAAGAGATGATGCCAACCCCTCAGAGGACCTCAGATTATGCCAACCTTGAAAGAACATACAGAACGACCACATTTTGCTATAAGTTTGATTGCATCATATAATAATTGCTGTTAATAGTGTTCATCGTCTGTTTGATTACGTCTTTAATTGATTTTTCCGTACATTTCTGCCATATGTACATTGACTGACAGTCACCAATGATGAGCTACCACTAAATATTGTAGAAACTAAATTTGCTGTAAAGTTGCTTTGCAATGATTTGTATCGTGAAAAGCGCTGTACAAATAAACTTGAATTGAATGTAGCAAGATATTTATTTAATAATCTCACTTTTCTAGAGCACCTTGACATGTCGCCCTGTCATATGGTAGTGTTACATCTAAGCTCATTCAGAAATCTTCAGAGGCTTAGGCCGTGTCCACACGTACACGGGTATTTTTATAAACGGAGTTTTTCCTTCTTCCGTTTTAAAAAAAATCTCCGTCCACATGAAAACGCAAACGCATGCTTGAATCACTGTCAAGAGCATGCCAAACCAACAAGTGGCGATATAATCTCAACCGTAAAGCCATGTTGGCCAATCAGAAGCCTGAAAAAGT